GACAAGCTCGCCTAACGGCTCGCTAGTCAACTTCTCCTATCGCCAGTAAAAACTCACTTACCTGGCTAATAATGTAAAATACTATTGTATACTGGTGGTTTGTAACCATCACAAAATAAAAAAAACTTATAGTTTTGAAATTTAACCAAGATGTTTTTTGGATATTCCTTTTCAACATATCTATAAACCCCACATGTGGGGGGCCATTTTGAAATGTAAGTTCCTTTTCTCGGGTTTTCCTCAATATCTCGAAAACTATCAACTTTTGCATAACCACTTATAATAACAAATTGAAAGCTCATTAAATTTCCTACAGAAAACATACAAAAAGTTTTTTCTAGCATTACCCGTTTGGGAGATATATAAATATATATACATAAGCACAACGTGCAGGAACTATAGTTTCTCCATTCCCCACCAGGGCTTATCACCAGATCCAGCCGTGGGTGGGGAACCCTCTGGATCCAAAGGAATGGGGTTTGGTCTTTTCAATTTGTCTGGCTGATGAAATGTAGTTTTGTAATAGATAATAAAAAATAAAAAAATACTATTTATGCGAATAAATGTATACAATAACGATTGAATGTATGCCATAATGGTCTAGTGGTAAGGATACTTGGCTTGTCAGCGGGCGGCTCGGTTTCGATTCCTTGCATAAAACGTTTTTTTTTTTCAAAACAAAAGTTAGGTTATTTGTAGGTTTAGATTTGTCTTCTCCATTTTTTTTTAAAAAGCAAAGTTGTACAAAAAAGCTGCAGAATTTTTCGCGTCTGCTATTTACGAATATGCAGCCCGGATAGGTTAATACCGAGGTTAATACTATTAAATTTTAAAAAATCATATCCCGATAACGAAGAATTTGCGGACCCATGTTCATAGGACATTTTCGATTTGAATTAAGGAACACACAGTAAAATTTTCTCCCTTTTCTCGCGGAACATCCTGTATAAGATACTGTAAATTTTTCTTGATTTGTATAAAAATAATGATCGGTTCAAATGAGAATATTCCTATAAATTATGTATATATTATTAATTAATGCAATGCACTACTCTAATTTTTTATGTGACCTGTTGAATACTTGGTATTTTCGAGGGATGCGATATGTATAAGGTTCATTAAAACTAATTTTATGTCCGGCCAGCGTTTAGCGCATTTTCCAAAAGGAAAATGAACGCATTGTCCGCACTTTGTCCGTCTGTCCGCCTGTACCACTACTAGTCGCCCAGTTTAAGCTTTTTTGATGTAGTTTCTTTCTTATATGGTGTAGCACAGCCCAGAATGACAAAAGATTTTTTGAATGTGGGATTTGGGGATGTGCTCCACCGTATAAGAAAAGCCACAAACGAAAAAGTTTAAATTGGAGGACTGGTAGTGGTACAGACGGACAGACTGACAGACGCACAAAGTGCAGACGATAGCGTTCATAAAAATACAGTCCACTAACGACAGTCTCCCACACCCCCAAACACAAATATTATACCAATATTAAGAAACAAGTTCCATAAACTTAGGAAACGAGCCGCGTAGAGGCGAGATTTCTAATGTCTGAGTACGATGAGGCGTCTTATGGAACAAGTTTCTTATACTGTTCTATTCAGAAGAGATTTTCGAGAGATTTCTTTTATTTTAGATAAATAATTTAGGGAATTTTGACGTAGAAGTTGCAATAGTCCAAATTGTGTTAAATTGGCAGTATGGAGTCGCAAATAATGCTCACATGTAAATAGAGCAGTCTCTACATTTATGACTAACATAAAAGTACAGGAGTTCATTTGTCCTTATTTGTCATTAGCGATCACGAATGATCGACGTCATATGCATTTCGATCCAAGATAGTGTGATGAGAGTACATAAATCAGCCTACTGATATAGTTCATATTAATAAAGCCAACAAGTGTATTAGCAATAAGCTGCTTCTTTAAACTTGATCAAACAATGTGTTTATGGACGTACGAGTATCATAATTATCCGTTTTCCATTTCGGAAATAACAAAGTGATGCTAGAGATAGCCGATAGGAGATTCGATGGTGGCCATCCGTCTGTCCGTGAGCACGATAACTGCCAAACGCTTGAGCCGATTTGGTTAAAACTTTGCACAGTTGACCTATTGAAAATTGGTGAAATCCAATGATCCCGTAGTAGACCGGGAGGCAGCGTACATAGTAACTAAACCATAAGCGACAAATAATTCGACAATACAGGCTGAAAGTACGTTGAAAACTAATAATAAAACCACTGGTCTGCCAGTCGTAAGTGGCAGCATTAACTTGGGGCGGCGCTGAATAGGTGACTTCTTTAGGTGATCAACTAAATTACCAAACTATAAGGGTCACGGAAAAGATTTGTATCAAGAAATCCCATTTTTTCCATAGTTTTCAAATATGCTATGGCAGACGATTTCAAGTGCAGCGTTGGTAGCGAAAGACGCCCTCCAATGTAGGGAAAAACACCCCTGAACTAAACCATGAGGACCGTATAAAAATTATACATAAAAAATTCCTCTTTTTGTCACTACTTTAAAATATATCCTGGCAGACGATATTAAGTGTAGCTTTAATAGTGGAAGACGTCTTAGAAGTTAAAAAATTTAGGTATAGTAAATCCCAGCGAGTGCGAGCGTGTGAGAGATAAGCGCGCGAGAGCACAACGAACAGAGATAGCTATAGATTTACGCACCGCTTGGAGTTACCAAACGAATTAAATTAGGGAAAATAATAAATTGTTTATTTCGCGATAAGATTGTCGGTATTTCTTGAATTCTTCTCAGACTGAGAAACAGAAAACTTGAAGAGAAAGAAGATAGATCTTCAGCTCGTTCTAAACTATAAGGGTCACGGAAAAGATTTGTATCAAGAAATCCCATTTTTTCCATAGTTTTCAAATATGCTATGGCAGACGATTTCAAGTGACTCCAGTTCCGTTGTCTCTATGCAACATTGATGGATCGATGATTAAAATCAACAAGTTTGTTTTGCTGAAACTTTTTCGGAAGTATGATTTCTTCAAGTGCTCCTAGTCCATCGCCAGTTGTAGATGTTGTTTTAATCGATGGATTATTTTTTTTGCATCTTTTAAAAGATCTCCGGTAAACCTTTGAGCGATTTTCTGAACACATCCTCGGCAAGATTTGTGCTGTGTCAGCGAGAGAAGTACATCTTACTTTTGACAGATAGTTACCCCTTCCATGAAGGACGCAGAACATGATCGTTGGGATCAAAATAAGGAAAGATTACAATCCTACTCAATTTTTGTTTCCACTCAGAAGCAGCCTGCAAATTTCATAAAACCACTTCGCAATGATAGCTCAAAGCCTCTCTTATAGATTACTTATACCGTTCATAGGCAAAAAAGACCTGTTGTGCTTTACTTGGAAGGAAAGTTGTGTTTGCCACATATGAAGATAAGTGCTATAAATTTGTGACAAGGGAAGATGATGTGGTAAAAACTGAATTGTGCTGCAGCCACTAAGAGGCAGATTCTCGAATAATTTACCATCTTGGTAAACTACCAACAAATAGCGAAGTCATTATTAGCGCTTCCGATATGGATATTGCTGTTATTGCTTTGGGAAATGTAAAATTGACGCTACCATCAAGGTATAGATGGAAGTAGGTCTCTTTTCCAATAACACGCAGAAATTCATAAATCTTCGAGAGATGTTCGTGAATTTGGGTGTTGATGTGTGTAACGCGCAGGGTAAAGCGTTACCGGGTTCCCACGCATTTACCGGATGTATGACTTGTGTATGGTCCTCATGGTTTAGTTCATCGCAATTTGGGCGAATGCCACCGAAAAATGTCTGAGTTTCTACAATCCGTTTGATTGAAGTGGATGGAACTATGTGAATCAGAAGTTTAGAATCAAATGGTTTGAAAGATCTCAGTAGTCAGTATCCTATCGCTATCTCTGTTGGTTATGCTCTCGCGCGCTTATCTCTCACACGCTCGCACTCGCTGGGATTTACTATACCTAAATTTTTTAACTTCTAAGACGTCTGCCACTATTAAAGCTACACTTAATATCGTCTGCCAGGATATATTTTAAAGTAGTGACAAAAAGAGGAATCTTTTATGCATAATTTTTATACGGTCCTCATGGTTTAGTTCAGGAGTGTTATTCCCTACATTGGAGGGCGGTCTTTCGCTACCAACGCTGCACTTGAAATCTTCTGCCATAGCATATCTGAAAACTATGGAAAAAATGGGATTTCTTGATACAAATCTTTTCCGTGACCCTTATAGTTTGGTAATTTAGTTGATCACCTAAAGAAGTCACCTATTCAGCGCCGCCCCAAGTTAATGCTGCCACTTACGACTGGCAGACGAGTGATTTTATTATTAGTTTTCAACGTACTTTCAGCCTGTATTGTCGAATTTTTTGTCGCTTATGGTTTAGTTACTATGTACGCTGCCTCCCGGTCTATAGGGTTACACTTGCCGATTTTTTAGATGGCACTTAGGGGTTTATTGTTATTCTCTTAATTGCTTTACACTTCCTTCTTAATACCTACCTGATAACGGTGTTAAAATGAGTTCATATCAAAACGAAGTGAATACAACAAATTTTCTGTAGGTACGTCAACTTTTTCGTCGTTTCGTACTATTTTAAGGGAATGTTTGCAATAAATAACCATAGGAATTACCTCGGATTGTAACTAACATAATTGATGATCCATACTTGAAATCGCTACCTCCCAGAGATCTGAACAGTAAATTTCTGCTGCATTCTGTCAGTCTATCGACATGTGTCCGGCAAAACCGGTAACCAATTCAACTTCACGCGAAAAATGTTCAAATAAAAATTCATTTCCCTCTGGCACAGCTGGGATGACTATTAAAATTCCAATTTCCAACCCTCCTATCGCATCAAAAAATCTATTATCATCCTTATAGACACAGAATGGAGCAGCATCTTTAATGCAAATTGTCGTTTACGACAAACTTGGTGATTTTGCACTCGCACTCGAGGAATTGGCAGTGTGGTACAGAAACAAACAAACGGAAATTGTGGTGTTTATTGATTGTCGTTAATCCAGTAGGTTTAACAGGGCAATGCGATGTTGCGCTGTTTGCAATTTCTCACCCATCCATCCCAAGCCTGAAATCCCATTTCACCTTGCACTTTCTTCGCGCAGGCAGAATCGTCCACTAAATTTTCATTTAATAAATCTAAAAAAGAGCAGTTAAATAAGGTGTGATGACATAAAATTTTAGTGGGCCCTGTAGCTATTTGACAAAAGAACTCTTTTTTAAAGGCCAATTTGCATTACCTTCGCATTTCATGTCACATTTTCCGCCAGTTTTTCCATACTCGCACCATCCTTTGTCGTTGATCTGGAGAGAAAGAGTGAAATGTGTGATCATAAAGTTCAATAAAATTATGTAAATTAGTTTATACAGAGACAAGAAACGTTTCGGCTTCACTTGTTAAGCGCCTCCGTTTTTGTTTTTTATTATTATGGTCCCACTTTCTGCTGACACTTAAAAGTTATTTACCTGAAATAATCCCAAATTTTTGCTTCCGTTGGCTTTCGCGTATACTTTGCTTGTGTCTTTTCCACTTTCGCTTTCAATCATGCAGACCCCTGAAAACAAACATTTTACGTTTAATAAAACAGATAATTTCACGTGTGGTATTTCAGCGACAATTCAATGCGATTATTCAATGACATTTGTCAAACTTCCACCAGTGAAATGACGCGAAATTTTGTCGTATTAACCGGAACATTCTTCTTAGTTTGTTAATCAATTTCGACAACCGACTTATCACCACATCTTTTAATTTAATCACTCATAACGAATTAGCTTGGAACACAAAAGTTCGAATAGAATCAATAGCAAAATGAAAAGCAACTTCCATAATTTATTTTGACGTTTATTGTTGTCATGGAAATACATTCGCGTGGGTAATTATGCTTAATTTTTCTTTTGATTCATTGAATAGTCCTCCGAATACCATTCGTAGTCGAAGTATATTTGTAGATTATTTTTGAGCTGCTGCTCCACTCATGCTAGTTACGCTTTTGATCAGCGTAACTAGCATTCGTGACAGCACCTCAAAAATATTCGACAATACTTCGACTACTTATGGTATTATATATGATTATTAGTAATAATTATTTATGATACAATATTTCACTTTCACAGGACATTTTCCTTTATCGTCGTGTGCAATATTGTAACGGGAGACGTTATAGGTGCACGATTGAGGCATGCATTTTTTTCTTTTGAATAGGTTTAGGTTTTATACCTTTTTGACAATTGAAAATAGTTATGGCATAAATATTCTTATAAATAAGAAATTTAGCATTGCATGCACAACTTATGTTTAAAATATTAAATTTAAAAATATTAATTTTAAAATATTTTTTAAATTGTAATTACTCATATGTCTATTAAAGTCAAACGCATCACGTATAGTAAAAATCAGATGTGCGCATGCGCAGTTTGCGCAATACCAAGTTTTTTATTTACCGATAACCCTATACCTATATTTTTTTAATTTTCACCACGGATGATTTCGATATGCGCATGTGCAGACTGCTGAAACTCAATTTTCTTATCCTACAGATGCTGCTAATAAAGGAAACATATCGCAAGCAGTAAAAAATTAGGTGTGCGCATGCGCAGATTGCGCAATACGAAATTTGTTATTTATAGATCTTATTTATGTATACAGGGTGTCAACGAATCTATTCGACAAGCCATAATTTCTATTAGTATTAGGTGTATCAGAATGAGATTTGGTACAGGTAGATGGTACGTCAAGAGGAGAGTTTTCGCATTCTCTTGCCGCTCACTTCCGGTTTTACCGGAAATGGTCCAGGTTTTGATTTTTTAAATGGAACAACCCTGTATATTTTTACATTTTTTGATTTATGAGACAATTCTGAATCAGAATGTGGTTTTTTGATGCCGAATTGATTTTTTTAGAGCCACTTTTAATATTGCATCTAGGTGGCCATGATCTGACCCAAACTAGGTGAACTTAAGTGATCTCAGAAACTTACAATCGCAAAGTTTTAGTGACTAATATGAGAGACAGAAATAAAACAATTTGGCAAAATTCCATTTTCGTGTCTAACTAGTATTTTCAAATGGCAACCCTTTTTTGACAAACACTTTCCGAAAAAAAGATTTTTTGACGAATCTAACGAGACTAATTTATTTGCGATTGAATTAGAAATAAGAACATTAGTCAAATACTGGATAGTAATTTATTTACTTTTGTCAAGTGTGCCATGGATAGCCATGGTGCATATTATCTGGCAGTAGTTTTCATCAAGTCTCCTTTGGAAACCAAAACACTCATTTTGGTGGTGATAGTGACATACGTTTTATGAACAGACCTAGAAGTTCCTTAAGTTTCTTTAAATTTCAGTTTAATTTTTTGTCAAAATTATGTATACTCAAAGTGAAAAAGTGGACATGTTATTAGTATTTGGATAATGTTATAGAAATTCAAGGAAAGCTGCCGAGTGGTATGCTCACAGATATCCTAATCAGCAACATCCATTCCATCAATATTTTCCGTATGTTGAGAATCGTTTTAGACAAGAAGGAAATCGAGATGCGCAGCAGAGGTTTATCATAAATGAAGAGACTGAGAGATTAACGTTCTTGCCATGGTTGAGGTTGATAAAACAGTTTCTTAAAGAGCAATTAATCAAGAACTTCAGATAAGTCACGAATCAGTAAGAAAAATGCTGAAAAAGCACGGGTATCGATCATTTAAATATCAGATACAACATTTGTATGCTGACGATGGCGAAAGACGGGTAGTGTTTTGCGATTGGCTGCTTTAAAATCATAGAGTTAACCCAAATTGTATCAACTTTATTCTATTTTCCCACGAATCCCGATTTTACAAATAATGGTATGTTCAATAAGCAAAATACTCGGTACTGGGCCCAACAAAATCAACCCGAAATGAGAGAGGGCAATTTTAAAAAAAGGTTTGGCGTCAATGTCTGGGCTGGTATCGGTGGAAACAGAATAGGGCCAATATCAATTAACAGGAGTTAGGTACTTAGGTTTTCTACAAATTGAAATCGAAGATCATCTTTACCTTTAGCAGTTTCACGGTGAATTTACTTCCAACAAGATGGAGCACCGCCTCACAATACCAGAGAAGTTCCTAATTAACAGAACATCTGCAACCAATGGTCCTGTACGGTGAACTGTTTCGATTTCTTTATTTGGGGGTATGTTAAAGAAAGGGCCTACTATGCAAACGCTCTTGAAATCTTAGAAGAAAGTATTCTACAGGCATTTAGAAGTATAACGCCTCAATTGTTACAAAACGCGTGTAGAGAAATAATTGAACGGGCTGAAATGTGTCGTGAACAAGAAGGAATGCACTTTGAACATTTACTAGTGAAATTTTAATAAAATCGGATATTGTAATTTCAAATAATTTCAGTTGAGTTTTTATGAATAGCACGGTATTTATTTCGCAAAGTATAAGAGATCCGAATAGGTTAAATGAGGAACGATTTGCAGTTTCATCACCGTAGTTATTATTATTATTATTAGTGCTAAGTGGAAATACGAAAATTAATCCTCAATAATACGGCCTACTTTAATTTAAGGTCATAGTGATAATATGCCAGTTGTGACATAAACATGTTTTTTTTTATATAGCATCTATAGTTGGAGAAATATTTCAATACTTTTTATAAATAAAAATATCTACTTAGCAAGCCATGAATAATTTTGGAAAAACAAACAATATTCTGAGCAAGGCACACAAAACTGTTAATATTTCTTAATTTACCTTAATTTCCGAAATCCTCATACTATTCATAAAAACTCGCCCAGTATACTACATGACAATATCCTTTGTAGATTTGTAAATTAACCAATATCCTGCTCTCGATAAAGATATGAAATACCATGCAGTTTAAATGTCTGGAGTACTGGAAACGTGCTTTGTTCGGCGTTACAGCACAATCATATGTAGCCACGATCGGTGTTATCTTATCGCCCTTTTATCTTTATAAGGACACATGTCTATTATTTTCAAGTTCATATACAGTATAGTCAAAATGCCATATTCAAAACCATAAAAATTGATTGATGGTTATGACATTTTTGAGCTCGAATTTATAAACCCACGTTCATAATGCAGGGGACAATACAAGACGTCATAGCATTCAATTTTTATATGGAAAAACTGTTTCCAAATATAGCTGAACTCTAATCAAAGACTAAAGGATGTCTATTCGGATTTTACGCGAGTGTGTAAAATGTAACGGGTGGTTAAAATTGTAATTTAAAAAAATCTCAAGCCTGTTCTCATTAATTCCGCCCCGCCGTTGGGCGACAATTGTTGTTCAAAATTAGGACCGAAATGTCCGCTCGTACTAACAATTTTGATTTTACTTCCAAACGATATATAAAAATGAATGGTTACTTTTTTGCAAATTTGTGTCAATGGCTAGCTCTGTACTTAAATTAAAATCGTCGCAAATGCTTCAGACCACTTGATAGACTTGAGAGAATAAAGACAAAAATTTAAATTTCAAAATACATATATTTCAAAATCAAGTTCAGCCTGCATCTACAGCCCTTCGTAATAATCTTTTGCGGCAACTTCCCAACTAAACCTAGCGCTTCCTTAAAAATGGTTACTATCCCCTTTGCTAACAATGCGATAAATTACAGGTGGTTGATTTAACGTCGCCCGCGGCTCAACGCGAGTCTTTTCGCGCTTCGGTACCAATTGCCTCAAGGTTCTCTCCGAACAAGCAACTTCCCACTACTTTTCTTCTGTGAGCGACACCCATTTCGGTGTTTTTCCATCAATAAAAAATAATTATACTTCAGCAATCCGATTCCTTGACAGCCATAAATCGATCCAACGGGGAGTAATTGCTTATTCATCTTGCAAAATCCACGCTTCGTAGCAGCCTCGATAACCACTGGAAAATAAACAAAATCTGTTCTGGAACCTGAACTAATTACGCCACTTCCCACGACTCATCGGCGCCCCACACTTTCAAACGCATTTACAAGACAAGCGCTAGGATTGTGGCTGAATATTCTCGTACGACAGCATCTGCCAGAGATATACCCAAACAACAGATTGCTAACCTTATGCATTGCATGAGTAACACAGTTTCAGAAAAAACGACGATACTTGATCTGTGCCTGCTGAGTTTGTAAGTTTCTTGATAGCTAAGGCTACAAGGCTAGCAGAGACATTTTTGGTTTTAGGAAATAAGAATGGGTTGCTATTCGAGGTTGGCACCGCCTATTTAAAAATTTTAATTAAAATTAACAGTTCTGACACCTATGTAAAACTAGAGAACTAGCGAACTTGCAAATAATGTACAATCATTCATTTCACCGATAAATCTATCTGACAGTTGATCGCCATGGAAACAAATGTATTCACATAGGAAATTATTTATCAAATAAATTCGAGTAAAACAGGAAAGACCGGGTAACTACTTAGTTTGTAATGCAGTCAAGGAAAACCAACTAAATTATATATAGAAAACTTTGCCTCTGGAGAGAATGCAATAGTCATGCTGACTGGCATTTAGATTTCGAAAAATAATCGACTTTATCACATAATATTACCCAAGCCTTGTTAGATAAGCTTTCCTCCACCAAATGGCTTTTCCTTACAAAGAATAATAAAAACGCATGTTTCAGACAGATTCAATTTGTAAGCCCTTTAAAGGAAAAGCGAAGGTAAATAGAATTTTTCCTTTTCAAATACCGCAGCTGATTACAGTATTTAATAATGAGGGATGCACACACAGATTTAGGTAGAATAAGTACGTCACTGATTAAGAAAAATCATTTGTTCTTTGTCGTCTTAATGAACAAAATTCAACTTACACTGCCCTATAAAGGAACGGGGAAAATTTCGAAGGTTGAGCTCCTCCACGAGTCCACATTTTGTAAATATTTTCCCTTCGGCCACCAGGAAACATGCAACGAGCAATAAAAACAGAGCGCACTTCATGGCGTATAACACTAACAAATTCGAATTACGCTGCCGGTTCGCGTCTAGTATCGATGGAAAATTGTGTAACTTTTTTTTCGTGTTGGTATATCCCGGTAGCACCGTTCAGCATGTTATTCAGAAATATTCGTGTAGAGAGACGAGCACGTAAATATCATGGGGAACTGTAATCAGTCAAGGTTGTTTACGCGACGAATGATAATTACAGTGGCATTAACCAATTCATATTTACACAAACTGAATGTTATGTAAATTGCGTCTTTGAATAAACTCTTTGTAACGCGAGTGTCATTTTCCTTAAGCGAAAGAGGTAAAAACCGCACCATCTGCCATTGTTTTTACGTCTCGATAAATATTCATCGAGTTTTAGCGAATGTTATTCAATTATTCAATAGACCTGGCTTTTCTCTGACCTACGAATTGAATTAGAGATGTCCAAATGGCTGCATAAATTTTAGAAGATAAACCGCCGCCGTACGATTTCATTTTCTCTTTTTCCCCTCCACGCAATGACATTACAAAATGAGCTATAGAGAGTGAGTGCATTTTAGGGGAAACTTGAGTCTTACGAAAAAATAGTTTCCCTAAGCAATGACGAACGCTGTCACCTCGAAGAGAATTCACGTTTGTACCTAGACTTTAAAACACTATATTTAAAGTCAATGATATAGTGTTTTAAAGTCAATGCTAAATCCATTAATAATGACAAATTAATAAGGAAAAAAATTTAACCCTCAGTTAATGAAGTTAAACAAAAACTGCATATTTTGCATACTTTACTTTTTTGCACATTGACCTAGAAAATACCCTCTCCATGAATGTTCAGTGTAGGTATTTACACGCTTCTCTCGCTGTGTATATGTCGCAGCTGTTTAATGAAATTGGACATTTCATGAAAAGTCTAGTCATTTATATGAAACTGTAGAACAGTTTACTTTCCAAGACCAAGCGATTGGATTCCCTTCCCATTAGAGATCGATAAATGGTATCCTTATCGATCTAGAAGGGGAAGGGAAATTACCCCACACGTACAAATTTTCAGCGTTTCACTAAATGACTAGGCCTCGGACTAGACTTTTCATGAAATGTCCAATTTCATTAAACGGCTGCGACATATATAATACCCGACACCGCTCCTTCATGACTCGTCCTTTTGAGTTTTGTTCTCTCCTCCTTTACACTTAATTTCACGCCTCTTTTGCAAGTTCTTTGCCCGCCCATATTTCTTCTTCGCGACTTTTTCATGCACTATTTTACGTCGTCAGCTCACCCCTTTACGACCTTTCCTTTCATATATCATTTACTATTCTTTTACGCCGGAGAATTGGTGGATAAGGATTTCACAAAACACTCCTTGGACGTAGATGTGAGTGGTTCCTGTAGTAAATTTGTTCCAAGTATTATACACTTTTTACTATAATAGTACTTTGTTTCGCCAACGGAGGTCGTGCAGATGCTTTACATGGTACTACTAATTCTATCCCTTTTTTCAGCATTGCGCGCAGTTCCACATCCTCCCCTCAGTGAAGTGTTTGCTTCCGTAATTGTTCACATGCAAATTTTTCATCGGTACGCTATTACTTCGTGTCTTACTTTTAAAGCGATTAGTATTTTGGCTTCACCATTTATCCTTGGAGTGGTTTCTCTTTCCTCGGTATTTGTATTGGTTACGAGGGCACGGTTTCCGCAAGAGAAAAAGGCGGTCGCTTCGTATATGAGATTCGGCGAGGCATTTAAGTAAAAATCTGGTGGGGAGAGCAGATCTTACTGGAATATTCGTAGAGAATCTATGCGCTTCGAATGCTACATTTTTCGATCACGTATTGTTTTCTTAGTAAATTTACGTATCGAGATTTATAGATCGCATAAAACGAAATTCTTCACCAAGCTGTCAAGGCGAATCTTGCGAGTTGTGTATGCCATGTTCGAGATCGCGTCAAATTTCATTGTTCATTAAAAATTGAAACCGAAAGCCGTAAAATCGCAGTGTGTGGGAGAATCGTTGGCCTCGCAACCGAAGAATTGTACCACTATTTTTCAACGAATTTATTATCGTGCTGTCTCTTCGATCAAGGCAAATAATAAGCGGTGGTTTTTTAGGGAACAAGGGGACTTCGTCAGGTAGCGACAACTAATAGACGGCTGATATATTTTCAACCGTGAATAGTGCAAACCGCTACCGTATTAATACGTAAGCGAACATGTTCGTTTCGGTGCATTATTGGATTGTGGTGCTCGTATTTAAATAAGTTATTACCACGTAAGCGTTAGGGTCCAAAGTGCAAAATATTGCGTTGCACTATTTTTTGGAGTGGCTACCTAATCTAATTTGATTAGACGAGGTGCTCGTAACATTATAAATAAAATGACAAACCGGTAAAAAGGTTAAAGACAATTAATTAATGTAGATGTTAAGAGGGATTATAATTATGGATATGGAGACATACATAAATTTAATTAATTAATGCTTTCGTTAGCTGCAAACCATATGTAATAGGGATAATTTTGGACATTTCCATACTGCAGAACATGGGTAATTTTAACGTTATATATATAAACCTGCTACCTACATCCATTTATGTTTTATATTTGAAAGAAAGGAAGTAAGCGTAAATGGCATATTTTAGAACTTTTGAGTACTTATATGCATCTTTACAATAAAACATTTTGGATTGTCTGCTTGTTTAGATAAAATTATTTATTTTGGAGCTCCTTACCATAGGTACAATTTCTGTACATAATATACTTTAAGGTAAACTTATCATTACTTACGTGATAATTAAACCAAAAATGCTGTGGTTTCCATTCTTTAATTATTTATTTGAGACACGCAAACACTTTTATATAGAGGATGAATATTTTAATACGAGTGCATTATGTGCTTTTACTTTGATTTGGGCTATTCCATACGCTACATGTTTTATTTAGTTAAATTTTTAAATCACAGTCTTCATTTAAACACAAAAAGGTCCTGATAGCCTAATGAATTTTTGTCAATACCGCCATTTTTTCTTATGTGGTTCAGAGAGAGGCTGATTAAAAAACGGATCGAATCCTTTTAAGCGTTCATGGCAAATTTATTCATTTCGTTGGTTTCATTAATATTAAACTGAAAAACTGCAGACTGGTAACATAACTCAAAAATGCTTTTAACATAAAGTATCGATGTAAAAAAAGTGAAAAAAATCAATACTTATACCAAAAATCATGTAGGTGTCCGATGACATTGAAGACATTGATTTGCTACTGTTTACAATGGGAACTTACATAAATTATTCATATAGTACCTTTCGAGCCACCAAATTTGTATATTTTAAAATGGAAAATAAAAAAGGATGTATGCGGAGGAGACTACATCAGAAAGGTATTGAGGATTAGTCCGTTTCGATAGATCAATACAATGTAAGTATACCTTTTAGTATAATGCAGTTTTGTCTACCTCATACCTGAGATTCATTTAAAATTCTATTTTTATTATTATTTATGCTTCGAGGGGATAAAGTTCTGATTTCGCATTATCCCATGCAATAATTCGGGAAACAACCTCATTGCAATTCTTACTAAAACAGATTAAACTACTTAGGTACAATGGCTGGCGATGTACAGTTACAAAATTAAACTGCGGTCGGTGTAAATTTCCCCCTGATTTCAGTATATTATCCCCCCGTAACGTTTGTCAAAACGTTTTCTTCTTTTCATGTGTATATAATTATTTAAGTTTGGGAATGGAGAGGTAAAACTAAGGGTCATTTAAATTAAATACAAGCGAGCGACCGCGTTTGCGATGTTTTTTAGACGAACGGTCCATACGTTACCTACTTGGTACCTAGACACAAGCCTCGCTCTGATACAGACCGTTTATTTTAACGATTATTGATAATTATTGACTTTCGTTACGAAATTGAGTACAAAGTTTCACGTGCTCATTTACAACAAATTTTTAATTAACACCGAAATAAATCCTTGGTACGAATAGATAAATTTGACATGAGAACTCTTATAGTTAAGTGGCCAAAACGAAAAACGACTCTGTTTCTTAGTTCTAACGGCATTTTATGAGCCATTTTGGCCACATGGTTTTTTAGATGTAAAAAAATGTGCTGAATTCGATTCTGGATGTTGCCAGGCCGAATTTTGCACTAGTTCACAAATACAGCACGATGGCGCCACTATCTATTGTATTGTGTACTATTTAGTATTAAATTGTTTTCCATAATTTATTACTTATATATACGTAAGAGATGGTTAATTACCTTCATAGCTAGTTCGAAAAAATGTAGGAAAATATATCCTGTGGTGATATATAGGGTGTCCCAAAAAAGCTGTGAATTAATTAAATTAGTGTTTTACATTTTCCTCGGCAAATTTTGTTTGTTATTAAATTTTGTGCTTTTTAATAACCGTTGGTAAGTATTTAGGTTTTTTCCAACATATATATAAATATATATAAATAAAAATTGCGTATTTTTTCCAATGAATTCAAGTCTGCATTTAAAAAAACAAAACCACATCGCATTTTTCAGATGATAACAAAAATGTGACTTTGATATGGAACACCCTGTGTATTATTACATAATATGACAGGTTATTAAATTCTTTATAAAACTATAGCAAAAATATTTTAAATAACCAACATTTTTAAATTATTGACGATCTCCTAGGATGTAGAGAGTTTTATAATTTTGCGGTGCCTGTCCATCTGTCCCGAGATCTGTTCACTAGCACGATACCTCGAAAACGAATAGACCGCCGATTATGATGAAATTTTGCATTTGGATTCTTTACCAGAGTTATAGATCGAAGTTCGTGAATTGGCAATGTACGTAAAAAAATAAAGAAGGCCCTTTTGACATCTCCGTTAGTTATAAACCGAATTGCAAACTTTTTTATTTATGAAAGTATTTAAATAAAATTTGATACATAGGCACTTGGAATAAAAGCAAATCTAACACCAGGTTTAAAATTTGGTTTTTCACATGCTATAGCCACTACCTATAGTAATATCTCGAGTAGTATTAAATGGCATTAAATGTACACAGTCACAGTCACAGTTTCAATAACATTTCCAGTTTGTGCGACATTCACCATGATACCTTATCTCAAATATCAGCCGTGCTTCGAAGTTATATGTCACAGTGAAAATGTCACGTTACATCTGCTCTCTTTATTTTTCATGCATAGAATGTAACTTGCAGTTTGTCTACAATTTAATTTTGTTTTTTTTTTTAAATATGAATTTAATTATTCTGTTGTTGTTTAGTTATGTTAAGATTTTGAGTTTTTTGTTGTGTTTCTTTCTTTTTCTTTTTTCTTATTACCTACACTAAATAATTGCGCGTTAACTATTATGTATTGTCCTGTAATTGGAATGTCTGTTCTGTTGGGCAATAAATCTCTATTATTATTATTATTATTAAATGTAAATTAATTACATTAACTTAGAATTATCTACATTAAATTACATTAACTGAATTAACTTGAAATTAACTGCATTTACAGAACATATTAACTACATTAAAAGTTAATTTTAATTCATTAACTACTGTTTGTACACCGAATTAACTAGGTGGTTTACCCCTCGGTTGCCGCCGACACAGTGGAGCGGCGCCACTTGCTACACTCAAATTGTTTATTTACCGCCCGCCAAGTTACAGACTTTATTTACAAAAAATATGATTTCATTTTTTGGGGTAATGTTCAGAAGTAACTTATCTAGAAAACTGTCGGTTTACTTTTTGCATAAATCGTCTTGATCGAGAGTAAAACAATAAAACAGGTTAGCGCAATAATCGGTTCAAAATATCTAATCTTTAAACAGCCGGTATTCAGTTGCTATAAACTTTTTAAAAAAATAGTCCGAACATTTTGTAGATAAAGGTCTAAATTTATAAAATATAAAATTTATATACTTATTATTAATATAAAATTTTATTTTTCAAAAACAACAAATTTTTTAGGCGGACGCTCTTATGGAAATTTACATTGGGTGCAGTGGGTACAGAAGGGCGTAGAGTTGCATCTTCTCATGATGCTGTTGCCGGGGATATTTTGTACCATACATATTGTCTCGCAAATGCGATAAGGGACGCTGAAAAATCGAATGGTCAGACTAGTCCTCCTAAAAACTGGGCTTTAAATAAATTATGGTATGAACTAAAAGTGCACAAATATCTACAAGTGTCTTGGCGACTGCTTCAATCGTAAAACAAGTTGTAAATCAGCATAAGCGCATTTTTGTTAATGCAGGTCAGTATTATATTAGCGAAGTTTAAAATTTTCGATCTCACGAGTAATTTTGGCTGCGTTAAATAATTAATTTTATTTAATTTCAATTGACGGTACGTCTTCATTTTGTAAAACAAATGTAAAACAAATAATAAGTTTTTATACTGGTAGCGCTATCTAACGGTAAAATTATAGCACCTCCGAAACCCATATCGAAATTATTTTCTTCAATTATCGATCTCACAAGTAATCTAACTCAAAATAGACTAGTGCCTGCACATCTACACTATAGCAGAAAGCTTTTAGTGAAAATTTGAAGTCTCTAGCTATTGTAGTTGTGGAGATCTAACGCGGACAGCCGGCCTGCCAGCAATAACGAATATAATAGCGTATTTTTTTCAAAAATGCGCTAAAAAATGAGCAGAATGATGAAGAAATTTAAGTTCCGTTAAAATTTTTGAACGAAATATAGGTAATACTTTTGCCGTCAGAATTATCTCTATATTGTTACCGTGTTGTCTGTATAATGTACCCAATATATGTTTTGCAATTTTCTGTGCCTCCTGTATGTTTTTTTAACACCTCAATCCGAAAAACTATGTAAAATGCGTCTGGCATAAAAATTTATATATTTGGCCGCCATATTGGCCGCCATTTTGAAATTAGCCAAAAATCAGCTTGGAAACATCCGAATTCGGGTTCAGCAGACATTTTTACCCTTATAAACGCACGTTCCCAAAATGGCTCATTAAATGCCGTTAGACTTGCGATTTATTAACTATGGCCACCCAACTGTTATATTCTGGGTCGATTAAACACAAAGCTAATCATTTACCGACAAAAAACAATTATATTGGAAAGACAGTCAGTCTTTATAATCGTAAAGTACTTCGCAGTGGCCGGATTTTAAGGATTATGAAGATAATCACAATTTTCTTTTAAATTTAACTCTTCAATGGAATGCATGTGCGTGGATACGTCATCTGGCTCTGAGTGCCTGTTTTTATTTCATTAATTAGAAAATAAATCAATTACGATGAAATCTACATTATGTATTTATTTATAATTTGATTAAGAAACGAAAGCCTGTATGCTGAAAAGCTTTAGGAAATGTCCGTAAATGATCAAATTCCTCGTCTCATTCCGACCTGCTCCGTAACGTCTCTTTCACTGCAGTCCAAGATCTGGCACTGCAACTTTAACTTACTTACCCTATATTTAGTTGGCAAGTCTGGGGAAAAATTGATAGTAGTAGACTTCCATTTCGGAACGACAGATCTTTCGCACCGCTTTCAAGTCTCGGGTAGTTCGAACTGAGTGGTACAAATAAATGAGCCTAGGTTGTGTTATTCTATGGTCGGCTCTTTTGTATGTTAGGACGTAAGATACAACCAGGAAGGAATTACTTTTTCAAATAAATATTGGTTGGAATTATACATTTATTTCTTTTTCAATCACGATCCAAATTCATACAAAACATCGAGCGAATGAACAATTTTGGGAGGTCTTAAAAGAAAACGCGTACTTTGTACAAATAGTAATAAATGCCAAAATTTGGTTACATTGATCTTCTGGAGCAAAAAAAACGTAGGCCATTGTCCCCAAAACAAATTCATTTAAATGACAGTTATGTTGTCGAAAACTACTATGCAAAATTATGAACTACGCAATAACTACCTCCTCGGAAATCTACTACGCATAAGCTTAAAAGGGAAATTAGACTTTCTACAGGTAGTTTGGTGCTAACGATACCAAATTGTAGTTTGACATACCTACTCGCCTGGAATATCCCAATAGGGTTGACATGTATTATTATTATTAATTAGAGTTAATACATGTAGGGCATCAAAGAAAAAGAATTCGGTTGCAATATAGAGAAAATCCATATGCAGCTAGCCTAATACGACAATAAAAGGTCTTGCTTTAGGCAATAGCTGTGGCGTGTAACCATTATAATAACTCCAATTAGTTCCTTTACTATTTCTCCGCAATTATCCTTAACAGTCGATTGTCTATAATTAATGTGTTTGCTTTACGTTAATAATCACCAAAACTGCATTTATGAGCTTATGTATTGTTTTATCCTCTATGGTCGTTGAAGATTAACGATGTTTTTTAAAATCGAATCGTGTAAGAAACTCTGTACATTGGGACACTCTGGAGCATCTAATTTATTTATCTTGTTGATTATAGGTATCCAAGTTCACCAACCTCTTTGAAGTTGGGAACTGACCAAATGTGATGATAACTGCACTGATTTTAATGTTGAAAGCATTACATAATCGAGTGAAAAACAATGACCATCTTTCCTTCATGGAAAATAGCCCGAAGTGCATGTTTTAATAAATTAAATATGTCTCCCAATCATTCGAGTTTTTTTCAAAATACTTAGTCAATCTCGAACTCTCTGTAAAAATTTGCATAAACATTTAGATGACCTCATTGGGGTGGGCAAAGAAGGAAAACTATAACTTTCCTCTCTTCTATAAAACGTATAGCTTTTTACGTTACAAAGCTGTCGGTTGGTTGAAGAAAGTGACTTTTCGAGTACGTGAAGTGTTTTATTAAAATGTATTAGGTCACATGAGTACGCGGTTGAAAAAGGCGAAGACATCGAAGGATGTGCCATTATACGAATGGCATTCTCATAAACGAGCTAGCAATTTCAAATTCAAGGGACATTTTAAATGAACAATTCAATTTTAAAGCAGCTTAAAATAAGGTACGAGATTCAGAGAAATGCCGGCGTTTTTATGACATTATCCAGCTTGACAAGTTGGCACATGCTTGCAATACGTAATACTCGACAAGGTCCGAGTACGTTTAGTGCAATGGACTTTGTATACAAATTTTGTGGTTATCGTAAAATATCGGAAAACGCGATTCGGAAATAAGCCGAATTTATGACCCGTGTTTTACGTCCTCCAAAATTGAACTTAAAAAAAAAGTTCGACTATTTGAACAGCTGAAAACAAGATTCTGTACGGAGAATTCAGGTTATAAATGAATCGAAACGAACACCTAATATGGAATACGGTCACCATTTATGTATAGTCAATGAATTTATTATCGAGAACCACCTGAGCGTAGGTTCCATTGTTCACATTTAATTCAGTATTCAATTCCATCCGACGAACCGAACGTAATGCGCTTAGTTCCTAATATCTTATTTTTCTTTCAGAATGTTTTGGTTTCGAGGGGCGCTGATGTGGCTAGGCGCCCTTTGCTACGTGGCCGCACCCAGTCCAGATTTGTGGAAGTGTCCCGACATTAACCAGGAGCCGATCGTCGAATGTAGCTGTGACATGCCGCATACGCTTAGGTGTACAGGCGACCGATCGGCTCTTGAAGTTATTGGTAAGTCAGTTTTTGCTATTCTTCTTTTTTACTACTACATTAAATGGGTGCAGTATTTCCTCGTGTATATTGTAAATTTGATTACATATGCCGGGTGGATGAAAAATAAGCTGAGGCAAGAAAAGGGTAGTGTGTCACTTTGTCAAAGACAAGTAGAAAACGTGAACGAAGGTGTTATTACTAATAACTCCGCACCCTATTATCTTACGATCGTACTTAAACGAGAAAATTCCAAGCCATCAAATCCTTAAAGGAATAGCTCTGTATTGAATACAATAGAAATAGTACATTATATATCAAGGTAGAGAAGTACAGTATTATTGCCTGAGCACCAAGATTACATCTCTAGGCGCTTGCGCCGAGGGGTGTAAGGTGCGAAGGCAATAATAGACTTCTCTACCGTGGTATATATAGTATTTTTTTCACTACAAGCACTTGAAATCCTCTAAATTAATTTTTTCAAAATGTGATAATTTTAGGTATGTAATTTCTCTGGAAATGGCGGATGGTGGCAATTATTCATTTTAGAGAAGTTGTCCTAACGTTTATTGAGCGAAATTTCGGGTTGTGTTTTCTAAAAGTGACAGCGTGACAGTTCTCATTATTGACTACTAGTTAATAATGTCCACATTATTAACCACTTTGAACAAATGCCGAGAAAGCCTACTTTACAAGTGGAAAAAAAGGTTAATAATCATGTCATCAGACGCTAGTAGTAAAAAAAACCCTTTACCTTACTTATACAGCAACTAAAACTACCATTTGTGTCGGTTAGCCTTGGAATACTGGACCATCTCTAAATGTGTCTCACGGATAGAAAAAAAAAGGTTGATTCTGAATCCGAAATGGAATACTTCCTTAATTTCGACGTTCCAAATCGAATATTACGTAATCCAACCGTAATATTCGAATTCATATCTGCGTACAAACGACAGAAATGAGCCACAATGAAAGCTGAAGGCTAGGCTAAAGGAGAATTTACTTTACGTGTTTGTTTGTCTCTTTGAGAGATGATGCGATTTTTGGTATAAACCATAATTAATAATAGACAGTTATAGTCCAGGAAATGTATAATTTTAGGATGCAAAATTCATGGTAGTTTTGGAATTTTCAACTTCCCACCAAAAATTCCCCCCGCAACTCCCCCAAATTTTGAAAAAAAGAAAAAATATCGTTTTTAAAAAAACCGTTATTTTGTGTATTTCAGAGAAAAAGTATCTGGAAATTTGGAAAGTAGACAAAACTTGAGACAAAAAAAGCGTATGATATTTTGACGTAGGGCGAATGGGTAGGGCGTTAGCGCGTCTCAGAACATGAGCCTTGGTGCCGTACGCACGCTAGGACATTAGACGATAACTGCAGGTGTTCGCCACTTTCGCGACCTTGCCTGTTTATCGCTGACTGTCATTTTCAATTTCTTGGTTCATCCCCTCCCCTGAAGAGCGCAGAAAGATTGCGAAGGGAAAGAAAGCAGTCATCGGTTGACATAATTTTTGGTGAATCTATGACTCCTTATAGGCCAGGCAAATTTTTTATCCAACAGCAGAAATAAACATCGCCTCATTGAAATGATTAAAAGGAAGTCGACAGTGCGACAAACTGACGAAGACGCAGACTGCCTCATCGTTAATACAGAAAATTGAAATGGCTTCAATTCATCCATCGGTGATTTGATTATTGTCGGCGAAGATATACATTTATTAGTTCTATTAACTGCACTTGCTCAATTACTTCATGAAGCACAGATCTACTCACCCTTTTGTCTTGAAGAAAACATAGTGACTAAAAACATACTATTTTTACACGGTTTCAGCGGCTGTGACTCTACGTCTTCGAGTTTTGGCGACGGGAAAACCAAATTTATTAAAGTCTTCGTCTAGAACCCAGATTTGTTTTTCCTAGCTTAGCTGTTTCTGATTCCAAATGCAGACGCACAAGCTATTGCAAAAGCTGGGAATCAATTTTTACTTCGTTTGTATGATTGCAAGAATGCCAACATGACTTTAAACGGTTTTAGACATCAGTGTTTCATTAGGACTGCGTACATCAGTAAACACGATATATCCTCTTTGCCTCCAACATGAAGCAACACTCATTCAGGACGTACCACCAAGTCCAACTTTCGCTAGGAAATGTCATGGAAGCACAAAAATGGAGCTGGAAAAGTTAATCTCCTGGGTGCAAAAAAAAGGATGCCGTGGCGCGTGTATATGCAGGAAAAGTTGGTTGAAATAATGTGCCTCGAGTGCAACAATTCATGCGCCAATAGCCCTAAAGATATCGTCGAAGATTTTGATGAAGAGAATGGACAAGCAGAGGATTTCGAACTACTATTTGAAAAGGTGGTCCATCAAGCTGATGAGATTATTTTGGGGAAATCACGGAAGAATTGTCAGATTAGTCGTTTCTAAACTTCCCTTTTTTGTCTTCGTTCAACAATGGATCAATCAATCTACTTTAACAACGGGACTTTGAAATCAATTAAATCTTTTTGGTGCATGAACCTACTTTTCAGCTGTGGGCCCTCAGCTGCAGTTAAACGGAAAAGAGTAGGTAATTTAAAATTTCTTTAAATAATTTAATTTAATTTAGTAATAAAAGTCTATATTTTTTAAATAGGTAGATGTGTTCTTAATTCTGAACTTGTCTGAAAATAGACGGGGAAAAGTTGGAGATTGAGGGTTGACTTCCAGATGTTGAAAAATAAGAGAGCCCCCTACGTGCGCAGTGTAGTACGTAAAAGCTTGTAGGACGTTTTTGGTTGCATACTATTTATATCTACATTTCAAAATTGTAGGTATTTTATTCGTGAAACCACAAAAATCTACATCGCGAGTACGAACTTGTCCACTAATCTCTTTGACCTAGTGGAATGGTGACATTGCTAAAGCGGAGAGGCGAATCTACTTAATCTGGGATGAACAGAGTATACAGTTATTAATAAGTGTTAATGCTATATAATTTGTTAAAACGAAATTAAAACAATTCCTCTTACTTCTGGGGAAAAAACGACAAAGGAATCTTTGTTTATATTTTTTAAACCAACAACATTTTCTTTGCATGCTTTGTAAGAAGATTTTACTTTTCAGATGCGATGTTTCGGTTTTTAAATTTCAACATCAACCTTATTTTTGAAATGCGGACTTTTTCATTTTTAAGTCGCTTTCAATTTCCCAAAAGTAATGTAGCAAGTGTTTGTACATCAATAGTTTTGGGAAATCATAAGTAACTCAAAAAGGTCCATACACAAATAAGGTTGAAGTAGGTATCTAAAATTTGAAATGTTTTCCAGGAAAGTAAAATCATTTTCTCATAAAACCTAGAAAAGCATCTTAAGAAAGTGCTGGTTTTTCCAAATAATCAATAATAAAATTTTAAAAACGAACAGTTTCCCTTCGTCTTTTTTTCATTCCTGCTTGGGCGTCCGACTTCATTGTATCGGGTGAAGAAAGCGGAGGAAGTGAGGGGACCTTTCAGAAAATGCTTCTCTTATCATACACTAACGCCTCACCAAAAATAAGCTCGTTATTAATTTTGCCTATTTCCGATTTACGATTTTGGGAGACTGATGGGCCATTTTCATCAGAACAGCACATTCAAACTCAACTAAAAAATGGCTTACTTGATGGCGAAACAAAGTACAGAAGGTTTTTCGAAAATTAGGTTGGGTGTACTTTAGTACACAGATACGAGATGTGATCACCAATTTCGTTCAAGTCTTATACATCGGTGTTTTAAAATTTATAGAATCAGAATCATACTACAGTCGTTCTACAGTTCTGTTGCGATGCAGTCCTGGATAATACCAGAGAAATTTGCTCCCATACATTTGTAGTTTCCCACCAATTTCGTTAAGGTGATTATTAAACGAACTGTATCAATAGGAAGGAATTAAATTTTAGGCGCAGACAAATGTAAAGTTTCCAATGCGAGTATCTCGAAAACGAAATGTCGATAGAAGGTACTCATAAATGTAAAGTGGAAGGGCTGGACGAGAAAATTGGAAGGCCGGAATGAAGCGTATCAGTCGGTTTTGCAAGAATGTTGAGCCAAGGTATATATCCCCTCCTTTAAGATAATCTTGCACAATTAGGTACATTCTGCCTAAAATGATTGGTTTGCACAAATGCTTCAACCGAGGCTTCAACTTTGCGATTTTCAGAAAGGACAACTCTTTAATGCCCTAAGAATATTAAATTGGGATTAGCTAACCAAAAACCAACAACCGAATCAAACTCTTCTTTGTAATATACTCGTACTTACAAAAATCCTGTGTCACGGTGTTTGTGTTCGCACTCCTCCGAAACGGCTTACCCGATTTTTATGAAATTTTTTGTTGAGAATAGGAAGTTTCATACCGCTAGATGATTACATAGTTCGCCGTGTGGGCGAGGTGAGGCGGCGCGGCCGAGCGTATGTTTCATCGAAGAGGGGTCTGCTAGTATATAACTAAACTTACGTAGTGCACCTATATTTTATGTACCCTCATAAAACCAAATATGGACAATCATCTCCCATTTCTAGGATGTGCACCACAGCCAACACTCTATGCAAAAATTTCAGTTTTTTTGGTTTACCTACTATATCTTTATTTAAAAAATTATTATTTATAGAAAATAGATATGTCTTGGAGTAACAATATTTAGTTTTATATTTCCACCTTGTATATCGTTTGCGTCAGTTTTATGTAGTTATTTAGTTTTTATTTAGTTTTGTTATAATGGGCAACCGTTAATAAATAAATAAATAAAAAAATAAACTAATAATCATAAAAAGAGACCTAAAAAAACGTAAACAAGCGATAAACAGACCAAGTGCCTATAGAAACAGTCAAAGTAAAGTTACAACCGTCTACATTTTCACAAAGCGCAAAATTACAGAGGCTTATTGAAGGTCCTTTATTAACTGGGTAAAAACGAATTTTTTTACTATAGAAGTTCCGCAAGATGTAATGGCAGGTTAAAATTGATACTCCCCGCGCTTTCGAAAATGAAAGTGTAATTTGAATGTGATCGTGACGGGTTCTTAATTAATTTACCAAATTGTTCTCCTCTGGGTGGTAAGTCCGCGAGGTCCAAATTCAATTTAATGTAATGTAATTTTGTTTTTCCCTTTTTACATCGGCTAGCTCAATGAAGACTTTCATCACTTACCCAGTTGCGTCGATCGCCCACCCCAGTTTCCTTGTATTAGATAAGAGAGGTCTCCATAATAAAGTGACAATTTGCAAATAAAACAACAATACTGAAACAAAACTAAACTTCGTTTTTACGTGTTAATAACACGCAAAATTAAATAAATAATAGAGGTATCAAGTGATCAGTGCGTTTTTTCCCTAAATAGTAAGGGAGGTATTGCAGTAGGGTAAAAACTAACCCTCCACTTTTTTTACGGAAATACACGTTTAAGGCCGCCTGGCATACATTTAAAATCCTCAGACACTCCATTCTGCAGATATTTGCACTGAAAGATTTGACATCATTAATAGAGATGTCTCGTCCTGACGTTCCACTTGCTTTAGAGTACTTTCCTCCGACAAACCGTTTTTGAAATATGGATATCACCAATGAATCTTTTCTTCCAGACGTCCCAATCGCCCTTTGTGAGTACGCTCTTCCGACAATCCGTTCTGGAGGAGAAATATGGTTAGTAGAAATTACTTCCTTTCGTTCAGACCTGGCACACCTTCAAGGTATAGGCTACCTATTGCAAACATTTTAGGATTCTAGGACCATTCCCCTAAAAGCAGCGGGCCCGGACGGACGCACGGACGGACGGATGGACAAAACGCAAACAATACCACATGCTATGCACTAAAAACAATTAACGACCGAATCCTTTATTTATCCTTTATTAATATCTGATTTGCAAAGAAATTTGTTTTAAAAAAATTCTCCCTTAAAGACTCCCCCATTTTTTTGGGCTCATAGCTAGAATACCGACTCTTCCCCCAATTTGGGTACCCTAGATGATTTAATTACTTGTCTTTCTGGAACTCCGTTCTTGTGACGGGATGGCCGATTTTTTATAAAAATGTTACCTTCTCAACAGATGCGGTGGTAGACGTCTAGGTGGCCGTAGGTATTTGCGTTCGAAGGCGCCGGAATGTTGTATGCGTAGTGATAATTAGCTTGTTAAATCAACTGAATAAATTGATGGGAACATACGATCGTTTAAAGTTACCTAAAACACATCAAGATTGTATTACCGTCCGTCAGACTGGCGCTAGTAACTTTCCCAGACGTTTAACCGCGTGACGCATCCAAAAACCATTGATACGTAAAATATAGATCGCCAAACTCCTTCGGAAACTATTGACTTGAATTGAAAGCAACCAAAATGAAGAAGCCGCCTTCTAATGGAAACATTAGAGGACGTCTTTATCTCTATGATGTTTTGTAGGCAACAATTCGCTGTCGATTCTTTGTGTACATTATACGGTGCACTACTCTTTCCTGGGTCACTGCATTGTGAAAACCTCTACCTCCACTAGACTGATTTGCCTGCCATTCAAAAGTCCATCGCCGAGGCTAAGTATTCTGTTTGTGTATCACGTCACACTGCAAAAGTAGGAAACCACGTCTTCATTCCAAATTGCGAATAAATGAGAACCGATGCCTTAAATTAGGAATGCTAATTAGAGGTTAACTAAGTGTGTAGGTAGGGTGCTCGGTAACACACTTACAGCTTTCATTAACGAAATTTTTTGCGTAGGAGGCAGGTGCAATGAATAAGCTGTTGCCACGAATTTAGCATTATCCATTAATTACCATTTTCACTTCTCCACGTGCCCAAAATATAGGTAACGCAAATCATTTAGATCGAAACAATATTAAAATGCTGTTACTTCTGTTTTTTGGCTTCACGAATTAGACGATGTATCTAAATTTCTCTAGCAAATAACCAAGCGCTTGCATTGGTGCTCTATTTTCAGGACTATACTTAATTAAGGCCAAATTTTGGCCATAAACAAAAAAATCTTGATTAAAACGCGCCAATCCACTGCTAAAATGCTCCATGCATTCCTCCGGTTTCTTTTTCTCGGAGTAATTAAAATAAAATGCAAAATTTGAAACGGTTAAACAACCAGGCAGTGAGATTGATTCGTTGAAAAACTTATTTTACTCTCCTTACTACGACAGAAAATCTGAACACCAATTCACAGTGACATCTTGTTCTCGTTCTCTCAATTGTCAATACTCTCACTATTTTACAAGAGTAGCACATCTTATATAAACGAATTGAGGAATAATGTATACTTGAAAATGCATGGAAAGCAAAGTGTATGAAAACTTTAAACTGAAAGATAATTCTTTGCAGGACGGACGCTACGTTCATTAGATTCCGCATCGGTATCCTTACTTGACTGTACAGTACAGAACCTAAGTTCACTTCCCGGATCCCTACTGGAGGGAGTAGCCCTTCACGGTCTAGTCATATCATCTGGGGAAATAACCGACATTCACCAAACAGCCTTCCAAGGACTAGCATCCCCACTTCAAGCCTTGGGACTTCCTAACAATCAACTTACCTCAATACCCACGCTCGCTCTAAAGTCGCTACCCGAACTCGACCGCCTCGACCTATCCGGTAATAAACTACGAATTCTCGATGCGGAGTCATTTAAGGTAAGAATTCCTCCGGGTCCGCATCTCCTAACCTCTCAGCTTTCAGGGTCTCTACAACCTTTCCTTCGTCGAGCTGAGCAACAACGTTCTAACCAAAATCTTTCCGACCACATTTTCAAAGCTCCCGCAGCTGCGAACGCTACGACTACGCGGCAATCGTCTCTCAATCGCGGCCTTATCAAAATTAGACCAAATATCTACGGTCGAAGAAATCGATCTTTCGGCGAACGCGTTCGTTCAGGGTCTCTACAACCTTTCCTTCGTCGAGCTGAGCAACAACGTTCTAACCAAAATCTTTCCGACCACATTTTCAAAGCTCCCGCAGCTGCGAACGCTACGACTACGCGGCAATCGTCTCTCAATCGCGGCCTTATCAAAATTAGACCAAATATCTACGGTCGAAGAAATCGATCTTTCGGCGAACGCGTTCGTGGGCCCCATCGACTCCCGCACATTTCCCAAGATGCAATCCCTGAAGTACCTGCAGCTCGCTCACAATTCGTTTACCAGCATTAAAATGGGATGTCTGGAGGGATTGGGGAATTTGACCGTTCTCTCCCTTCAACATAACCAAATTGACGTTATCGAGGATCACGCCTTCATCTACATTTCGAGGATAATCGAACTGGATTTGTCACACAACAGGATCGTTGCGGTTTCCGGCGCGTCTTTGGCGCACTTACTGTCGTTGAACAACTTGGACTTAAGGCACAATTTTCTTCGAGCTTTAACGGCCGATTTAGTTCAGCCGCTGAAGAAATTGCAGAACCTTAGACTGGACGACAACGATATATC